AGTCTCTCTAAGATCCAGCCACTTTTTCTGCCCCTAAAAGTTCTCAGGGGCAAGAAGCCCCCTAATTGTGTAAACTGACACAGACCTGTGTTCTTTTCTTTTCAAAGCTGGAAGGTGAGCAGAGGCAAGGACCCTGTCCATGGAGCTGGCTGGCGGCCCCCAGCCTCTTCACCGACCTTAGGGGCAGAGGACGAGTGGAAGTGGCCTGCACTGTGGAGACCAGTCCCAGAGAAGGGGCACCCAGGCACAGGAGGAGCTGGGGGGCAGGCAGTCCCTCCTCCCTCTCCCCTACCCAGGGCTCAGGTTTCAGAAAGACCTGGCTAGGTCTCCACCCCTTTGTAAGGTGGCCAAGCATCCCTGGCTGAGACTGCAGGGACCCAGCTCCGAGTCCTTTTGTCCCAGGACGTCCTCCTGACCATTTCCTGACCTGTTCCCAGCTGGGGGTTTGTGGTTGCATATTTTCAGAGATGCCAGTGAATTTGTCTCAGTGTCTCCTTCCTTTTCGATCTTCCACACCTTGGGGACTTTGGGAACTCTGAAGGTATCAGGAAATGACATGTGATTTATTCTGTAGTTTGGAGCTGCACTTATGGGCTATGCTGGGATTCTTAGTCCCTTTTTGTTGGAATTATAAATTCTGAGAGCTGGAGAAACCTTTAGAGTTTTTGTAGGGCTATTACACCTTAGGTGAGATGGATTGATTCAGTGACTGGGATAATGAGAGTGGGTGTGTCAGAGACAATAAGGTTGGCACAGGATAGAGCAGGTTTCAGGGCTATTGTATAGGGTCGCTGTGAGTTGCAAGTGACTAGAGGGCACATAGTAACAACAAACAAAACAACATACCCAAATTTGGCTGGACATTTGAATCTTCTATCACTAAGGACTTTTAAAAATAGGCCAGCTGGTGGTGAGTTTTCTGACACCTAATGACCCTTCCGCTGGTTTTTGACACCGTACATTTTTGTAAGAAGAGACCGACGATCTTTCTCCATCAGCACCTCTGGCCTTTGGGTTAACAGGGCACCATATAACACGCCACGTCACCGGAGCTCCTGACAGATCTCTGTGTATATGCATGGGTGAATGGAAAGCCATCTTTCTCTGCAAATTTTTACTCAAATGTGAAAAAGAAAAAACACCACACAAAAGAGATATATGTAATCCTGCTTTATCACTCCTGACCCAGAAAATATTCTTCTAAAAGTGTAGTTTCCCAACTCATAGGCCTCCAGTTGGTTTTCAGAGGCAGTAAATTCCACATGAGGAGACCGGCCATTCTTCTCCTGTGGAACAGTGTGTGGATTTGAACCATGTGTCTTTGGAATTATAGACCAGCTAGCTCGAACTGCATGCCTTTGGGATTACAGCACAGCTTCTTATCACTAGGCCATATAAAACATAATGTACAGAGATGACTCTAAAACAAAATGTACACAAACAAAACAATGTATATGAACAACTGAATAAAAGTGAATGATGGTATAATTTTTTTAAAAAAATGATGCCATTAGGCGAGCTCTGGTGGCCTAGTGGTAGGAAACTGCACTGCAATCCCAGAGGTGCGCGGTTCAAACCCACCAGATGCTCTGCTGAAGAAGGAGGAACAATCGCCTCCTATACCAGTCAGATCCAATTTGATGGTACACACATAAAATAAATAAATAAATAAATAAAAATGACGCCATTAAATCTGTCTGTTGTTTTAAAATAACAACCAATAGGTTCAGTGAAAAGAACAGAAATGTATACTTTTCAAAATCTTCTGGGGATCAGACAAGTTTGGAGAGCAAGATCTAGTCTAAGCTTTTAATTGACACAGATGTGATCAAGGCCAAGAGAAGACAACAGTCACAACGGGCCTGAGCTTCTCCCTTCTTAGAAAAAGAAAAGCTTGCGGGGAGGAAGGGCGGGGGTAGAAGATGGGGGTGGGGGCCTGGGTAGGGAGAAAAGTACAACAATGAATGAATGGAAATCCAAAATCTCTGTAAATGTTCATTAAAATTATTAAAATTTTAAAAAATTTTAAAAAAAGAAAAAGAAAAGCTCTGCCCCCATGCCCAGACCTGCACACTGTGTATGCCTGCCCTCATCCCACCTTCCCTTCACCCTGGCAAGCCTCTCCTGCAGCCCAGGCCCCTGTCTTCTGCTTACTCTAGGAACTGCCCCCACTCCCCCCAGCTGCACCTCTTTTCTCTTCCATTTTCAATTGCTCTTCACCAGCTGGAGATTTTTACTCAGGCATCTAAGCAAGCTCTGGCCTCTCTCACTAAAAGCAAACAAAATCCCTTTTCAACCTCACTTCACACCTCTCTCCTACTCATTCACTCTGCTCTAGTCGCTTGACTTCTTGTATCAACATCATATAAAAAAATTATCACAGTCAAGTGGGAATCACTTGATTGATCAAGTAGGTATACAAGGATGGTTCAACATTAGAAAAACAATCAGTGTAACCCACTACAACATAAAACAAAGGGAAGGAACCTCATGATCATCTCAATCAGTGCAGAAAAGGCATTTAACAAAACCCAGCACCCCTTCTTGATAAAAAGGCTTAACAAAATAGGAGTGGCAGGGAAGCTCCTCAACATAACTAAACGCATTTCGACAAAACCAACGTCCAACCTTTCTCTCAATGGAGAGAGACTAAAAACCTTCCACTTGTGAATGAAAACCAGGCAAAATTGTACTTATTAGCACTCGTATTAAAGCACTACGGCACATTTAACAATGGCTATTATGTACCAGTAAAAAAAAAAAAAGTTAAAGAATTAGTGAAAGAAACAAAAAAAAAATTAGTTAAACATTGCATAATATGGACCAAACTAGAGGAAATTATGCTAAGAGATGTAAGTCATATAAGAACAAATACTGTAGAAGACCACTATTACACAAATCTAAGCAGATGTTTACACACAGAATCATTCTTGAGTGCTTTCCAGGGACAGGAAAAAAGAAAGAGGGGGTAAGAATGAGGAGATAAATACGCCTTTATTAAGTTGGGTAAAGGAAAAGGCATTTTGTAATTAGGAGTTGATTAAATATTGGATTGATGACATTATGGCAGGAAGGAGGGGGACAGATATGAGACTTGAGGGAAACTTGCTCTCTAGCCCTGGGCCCACACTGTTGTTTTTAAGTGCTGTAGAGTCATAGGTGACTCTTAGCGGCCCTATCAATGAAAGTCCTCGACACTTGCGTGACTTTCATCCTTTCTCCAGGTTCATAGGGTTTCCAGAGGCAAGCTCTTTATGGAAGTGGATGCCACGCCCGGTTCCAAGCTTGTTTTAACCGGGAAGCTCCACCAAACACTGTCCACCATGGATAACCATTATCGCATCTGACACATTAGTGTCACAGTGTTCACCTTCACAGTGACCACGAGTTACCTCTGTACGGCACGTGGACACACCAGGACTGTACGACCTAGAAGAATGTTTCACCAAAAACAAAGACAGGCCTTAGGGCTGCGAATTAGTCACCCACCTTTGGCTTGGTAGCATTGCTTTCGGTCCACTAGGCCAACTGGTCACGCTACCCTCCTCCAAATCCCAGCCCAACCCTCAGACACAGCTGCAGGTAACAAGTATGGAGTGGTCCCTTTCTCAGCAGGTTCCACTCCTGGGATAGAGTGTCCACAGCTGGCTGTCACAGAGCCACAGCTTTAGCGGATTTCTTCCTCTTGGGCCTGTCAAGGAGCAAACTCAGAGGGAAGAGTTTTCCAGGACTAGACCCTTGGGATGGGCTTGGGGCCTGAGCTTTCACCTGGTTCTCTGCCGCACCCTTCCCCCCTTACTGTTGTTTTTATGTGCTATTAAAATGGAACTGACTCACAGCAAACCATAAAAAAATGCCCATCCTTCTTCCTTGGAGCAACTGGTAGATTTGAACCATATGCTTCTGGGTTGGCAGCACAACTCCTTACCTCCTTGTTCTGTGCTTTCAAGTTGGAACCAACCCATAGTTGACCCTCAAGCTGATTTTTAGAGGTATTAGGTCATTTAAGAGGAGACTGCCCATCTATCTCCCATGGAGCAGCTGGTGGATGTGAACTGTGTGCCTTCAGGTTGGAGGTGCAGCTCCTTACCCACTAAGTCAGAGAAAGAGCTGCACCCAGGCCTGGCACACAGTCTGTCAGTCCGTGACCACTTCCCATCAGGACTAGGACGGCAACTTCCTGACTTCTGTCTTCTGCCCTCTCCTTTCCCAGCTTGAGCTGACCCCCACTCCATCACCTGACTCAGCATCTTCCCAAGGCCTTCCTAGCCCAAAGGCAAAGTGTAACACCTCTGTTTGGAACCTTCCAGATCCTTTCTGCACCCTTTACCTCCTGACCCTCCCGCGCCTCTGCACCTGGTGCTTCAGCATACCTGAGTATCCCCCCAGGGCTGATCAGTGGTCCCCCCTTTATTCCTCAGCTTACACAGCTGCCTCTGTTGGACCCAACTCTGCTCCATGTTCCCTCTACCTATAAAATTCCTAATATCCCATAACCAATGCCTCTTCCTGTCCTAACCCTTTGAATGTGCTTTGTGCCATCCGTGATCAAGTGCTCCTCACCCTTCTCTCCAGGCCTTCCTCCTAGTCTCTGCCATGGGCCTGGTGGCACCTCTTGGTTCCCTACTGGGCTCAGCTTCCTGAGAGTAGAACCAGCGGGGTGCCAGAGAGCAGGGGTCCAAAGCCATGGCTGACCACCCCAGTGCTTCTCCAACTTCAGTGTGAATCCATATCACCTGGATCAGTTGACAATTACGTCTGTAAAACCCGGATTCTGAGGAAGCGGGTTGGGTGGGGACTGAGATGCTGTCGTTCTAATAAGCTCGTCGCAGATGAGGCCCATTCTGTTAGATCAGGGACCACTGTGAGCGGCAAGGATTCAGCTCCTCGGATTGGCTGGAGAGCCAGGTGGGAGCCCAGGTGTGTGGGGGCCGTCGCGGGGAGTATAAGATGCTGGGTGAGGAGGCTCTGGACGCTGCTGGCGTGGCTCTGAAGGCACCATGATGCTGGGCTACCGGCTCTTCATCTGCTTTCTGCTCTGGGGCGGCACGGGCCTGTGCTATTCCCACTCCCTCGGGCTCATTCAGAGAGACACTCAAGGCCTTGTCTCCTCGAAGCCGACGCCCCCTGTGTTGGTGAAATGTCTGGAGGCTCAGTTGGTGGTTACTGTGAGCAAAAACCTCTTTGGTACCGGGAAGCTTGTCCGGCCTTCAGACCTCACCCTGGGCCCTCAGGGCTGCAGGCCCTTGCCCTCTGAGGTCTCTGATGACGTGATCAGGTTTGAGGTCGGCTTGCACGAGTGTGGCAATCGTGTACAGGTGAGATGGGAGCTTCCCCTCCCTGGGCCTGCCTTGGGTGGGAGTCACAGGAGGCAGCAGGTGACAGTAACAGTGTGCAGTGCAGTTTGGGAGACGAGACATACTTGGGAGTGGAGGAGGTGGAACCTCTGTGTCCTGAAGCTGGAGGGCCCTTTAACTGCTTGAATTGGTGAAACTGGTGTTGGGGGGGGGGGCTGTTGAGAGGCACCAGTGTTCTAAAGGTGCACATGGTTCCACCGGCTGCTCCAAGAGGGAGAGATAGGTAATTTCCTTCCGTGCAATTCAGTCTCTGAAGGCCACCTGAAGGTCAGCTATGAACTGGTTCTGACTCTGGGCCAGAAGGGGCACGTCTCTCTTCTCATTCCTCCTGGGTCCTCATGAGCCTCTGGAGGGGACCCAGGAGAGCAGAGGCCCGTGGAGGGAAATATGGACGTGAGATAGAATGTTAGGCACTTGATTGGGGCATATGATAAGAGACTTGGACACTTCAGAATACCACAAGCAATCACCGTCGAAGAAAACAGTTTGACTTGCCTTCTTCCTTCTTCATTCTTGCTTTATGATTGAGCTCTTCTGAACTAACAGTGAAAGTAATAGAAGGGAGTTTGGCCACCCGTGTTGAACTTCAAAGACCTTCAGCTGTTCTAGGGATAGCTTCTGTGGGAGAGGTTCAAATGGGTCTTAGGTGCTGGGAGAGACCTCAAAGATTTGTGGACAGATTTCCTCCCCTAAAGCAGAGGAAATAGATGCTCAGAGGACAGGAAGGGGCCTTCCAGCAATGCAGGGCCTGAACCCAGGGCCTCAGCTGTTTGCCCAGGCTAGTCCTCCAGCCCAGCATAGAGCCCCAGCCTCCTGGACTCTCCCGCCTGGACCTCTAGGCACAGCTCTGGTCCCCAGATTGGCCTTGAGGTCTCTTGGCTTTTGTTTCTGGGAGAGGCAACAGGGAGCTGCAGGCATTATTTCTAATTCTCAACATTAGAATCAGCTAGTGGAGCTTCTAAAAATCCTCCCGTCCAGGCTGCACCCAAGCCAATTAAGTCAGGAGGGGAGTGGGAGGCTGACACCAGTATTCTTCAAACTCCCAAGTGTGAAGAGCAAATCTCAGCAGTGTCCTTCCTTCATGGCCTTTGGTGATCCTGCCTGATGGGGATGAATGACCCAGAGCCAAGGCCAGCTCTGTTTCGTGCTCGCCGCAGGCCTGGCCTGGTTTATACTCTGCTGCTGCTGTTTGGACGCTTAATTCTTGAATAGGAAGCGCTACACTTTAACTTTTTTTAAGGTAAAAAGCAAAGACAGATTTATTAAAGATATGCCTGAAAGACCTTCCTCTGTGGGAAAGAAGTCATGGATGAGCCCAGGAATCTTTAGACTTAAAATTGACACAGGGTTCCACAATGAGGCGCTGGTTCTTAGCAGAATTTGCTTGTAGAGAACCAGGACCCTAATCCCGGAAGACTGAGGCAGGCAGGTGGGGCCAGGCAGCTAGCTGGACCCCAGGTGCAGCCTGCCGGAGGGTACAAATTGCTCTGTTACTCCTGATCTTTACCTTGGGCTAAAATTAGTTCCCCAGTATGTGAAATGGACATTCTTGGCCCTAATTGTCTCCTCAAAAAAGGAACTGGTGTGGGGAGGGTAGAAAGACGGTGAGTCCCCATGTCCAGTGGTCAGGCATCACGTGGCATCTGTTAGGAGAACTTAGTCAGAGGCGGAGAACCTGAGGTGTAAGGTGGCCCCTCACCTAGGCGTGTAGAGCAAGGTTTGACTAGAGGCCTGTTGTCGTCCTCCCTCCCTGCCCGAGTCAGGGGCGCTTTGAGCACATGACCTCAGGAAGGGTCACCCCTTGTCTTGTCTTCAGGTGACTCATGACGCCCTGGTCTACAGCACCTTCCTGCTCCACACGCCCCGTCCTGTGGGCAATCTGGCCATCCTGAGGACTAACCACGCTGAGGTCCCAATCGAGTGCCATTATCCCAGGTCAGTGGAGGGGAGCCCGTCACAGCCCTGCCTCAGATGTCCTAACAGTCTGCCCCCCTTCAGTCCTTGGCAGCGTGACACCAGGCCTCTGTGGTGACCGCCTGCAGCCCTGGGTGGGAGTCCGTTCCCTGGGTCTTGTTTAATCGTCTGAAATACGCCTCAGGGGTTTGGCTTCATCGGTGGTAGAAGCCACAGACACTCGAGGTGTGTAGTTCAGGGAGTGCAGCCCCGGCCCCTGAGCCTCCTGGGTTAGTCGGCAAGGAGCAGATGGGGTCTTGCACTTAAACTTCAGATACAACCATATTCACAAGGCTGTTGAGATGCCTCTGCAGAAGGATTGTGTGAACTCAGAGTTGAATCCAATACAGATGAGGCAGAGGTGTGAAAGGTCATGGGGAGGTTGAGATCATCTGGCTGGGTTCTAAGGACTCCACGGTGGGTTTTGGAAAGGAGGCACTGCCTGAGGGGACCCAGCTGGGGCCAGCCGGGGGCGGGTGTGGTGGCGACTGTGACTGCTCTCCCAGGCAGGGTAACGTGAGCAGCCTGGCGGTCCAGCCCACCTGGACGCCCTTCAGGACCACCGTGCTCTTTGAGGAAAAGCTGGCCTTCTCTCTGCGCCTGATGGAGGGTAAGTGAGGAGGGCTGGAGGGGGCTTGCCGGGACAGCCCTTGGCATCTTCAAGCCCTGACTGCCTTCCAGAGGACTGGAGTGCTGAGAAGACGACACCCATCTTCCAGCTGGGAGACACAGCTCGTCTTCAGGCCGAGGTGCACACGGGCAGCCACGTGCCACTGCGACTCTTCGTGGACCACTGTGTGGCCACGCCGATGCCAGCCAAGACCACCTCCCCTCATCACGCCATCATTGACTTCCACGGGTGAGGGGGAGCTGGGCTACCTTGGTAGAGGAACTTTCTAACAAGGGCCTCCTGGCCGCCCTGCAGGCCACCATATGCATGACCACCATTCTGTCCTCAACAGTTGTCTCGTGGATGGTCTCTCGGATTCTGCCTCGGAATTCAGAACTCCCAGACCCAGGCCGGATACTCTGCAGTTCACAGTGGATGTGTTCCACTTTGCCAATGACTCCAGGAACATGGTAACAAATCACCCCACCCACTCTTCCAGCCCGCAACAAGATCACACTCAAAGGTCAGCCTGGTGGGACTTATACATCCTGCTAGTTGGCTCTCCTATCAGCAACCAGCTTGACTGCCTGTCCCTCCTGATCTTCCAGGTGGATAAAGCCGTGAACCTGGAAGTCTTTGAAAAGGCATAGATAGGAGCTTTCCAGAGACTTAACACACCCCCTGAAGGATGGGGAGGTGGAGTCAGGGCCTATAGAAATAAAACAAAGTAGAATAGGACCCTGGAAAGTTTGGCTGAGGGCCCAAATGCGATGAGGATCACCAACCACGTGCTTTGTCCTTGACAAGGTCTGCAGGGCTGGGAGCCAGATGAGAGGTTTGAACCGAACGACTTGACGAACCCAGTGTCAGCCTTCCAGGAGGTTTTCCTTGAAGTGCAAGAGAAAGATACGGATATTTACTCTTAAGCATAGCCTCGCTTCTTGAATTTGATCACTAGACAAGTTTCTCAAACTTGGGCATGTTGGTCTTGAAGGTTTCTTGAACACAGTACTGGTCCCACTTCCAAGGTTTGATTCAGGTGGTCTGGAGCATGCAAAGGAAGTCTGCATTTGGGTTTTTTTTTTTTAAAAAAATTTGTGTCCTGTCAAATTGGATCCGACTGACCCAGGAGATGGCTCCTCCTTATCCAGCAGAGCGTCTGGAATCAGCACAGATTCTTGCCACTAGGCCACCACAACTCCCTAGGAAGTCTGCATTTGTAACAAGCTCTCAGGTGACACTGGTCACGTGACCACACTTTGAGAACTAGTAAGGTAGAAAGTCCACGCCATGGGGGTGAAGGAGACTGGATGGCTGTACTGATCAGGGGGGGAGCCTGAGCTCCAGGAAGGTTCTACCTCTAGAATGGGAGGGATGAAGTGACTCGCCAATGCCCCCAGCACGTGAAAGAAGGAATCGACCTTACTCCGAAGCTAGTCTCCCTGGTGTCTTGGGCTCCACGTGGCCCCGAGAGGAAGTGAAAGATAAGAGCAGCCCCCTTCTTGGGCTAAAACTCAACTCGCCATCCAGCAGGTTCTGACTTAGAGACCCTCAACCAGGCTGCTCCAAGGACTCCAATTCCCCTGGAGATCCGAGGAGTTGCACTGTTGATCCAAAGGTGGTTCAAATTGACCAGTGGCTCTGAGGGAGAAAGATGAGGGAATTTCTTCACATGAGCTACAGCCTCTGAAAACAGCCTGGAAGGTCAGCCTGAGTCAGTTCCCACTTGGTGGTAATGCGTTAGATCTTTTTCTTTGGCCTGTAAATCGCTGTGGCAGGAGACATCATGCTCCAGAGAATCGGCTGGTAGACTGGACCCAAGGAAAACAACCCTTGGGCTAGCGCTGGAATACCAGAACTACTCCCCTTGTAATTGGGATGCGAACTCTAGCGGAGCAGCTAGGAGCACTGAGATTTATAGACCACAGAAGTGCGCCTCAGCTGGTGAAAAGTCCCGGCAAACGGGCCTGTCGGGTTTTTGAAACGTTTTTTCCTGCTGATGCAATTAACCACTAGGTGGTGGTAAAGGCTCGTGACTCTGCAGAAGGCTTCAGCCGGGAGTCTATGCCATTTCACAGGCGGGGAGGGGGACGTCTGAGGTGGAGATGCCTCCGACAAATGGTCCAGGGCCTGCCTGATGTGTAAGGATTGGGTACCAACCCTATTGTGGTAAGGAGACCTTGGAAGGCAGATGACAGCAGAGCTGGGCTTAAAACCCATGGCTCCCAGCAGGGTGTATGTGCCATCGGAGGATTTGCTAGTCAAGGGTAGTCAAATCGCATTTCCCAGAGGAATGACTCTGCCATGTCTAGGCCAGGGCATCAGCCTGGAGTCAATTCCGCATTCTCACTTCATGGACAGATTGATGCTGCAGATGGGGCATTGAGGTCTCCATGGGTGAACGATGTTCCCACCTACCGGAGACCTGGGTCCAAGTCTCAGTTAAGCTATTTCATGTGTAGCCATCATCCCTGTGTTAATGGACAATTGGTCTATGATGGTGAACGGGTTTTTGAGGAACTTCCAGAGTTAAATTAGGAAGAAAGGCCCAGTGATGCTAAACACCAGCCAATTAAAACCTTATGGATCCAAATAGGGTTGAGGAATGGTTAGTGTTTTTGTTGTACAATGGGATTACCGTAGAGATGGACTGGAGGGCAGTTCTAGAGGGAAGGAATTGCACTGCCAATGGCCAATGCCCATCGCTTCTGCGGAGACAACTTGGGGCCTCTGAACCTGCTGGAAGGTCAGTTAGGAGTCAGTTCCAACGGGACAGTGCAGCGGCGTAAAGGCAAGCTTCGATAGCAGTCCAGGGAAGCGTACCTTAAAGAGAGGCTGACAGGGGACTCCAGGTCTGACATCAGAACGCAAGAAGCTAGTGGAATGGATCTCGACTAGAACACTTAGGGACCTGGGGTCACAGAAATGCCTTTCCCCTTTTCTCAGCTGCAAAACAGTGCAACACTCAGCCATCTCTTAAGAGGACATAGCTTGTCAGCTAATCAGGTGGCAGTCTCGGGAGTCCTGCTGAGGACTGGCTGAATAGTGCTCTCTTCCCGCCCCCACACACCCCCTGTGGTTCTCACTTAATGGGCCTGGGGCTCAGTGGGCTAAGTGAACAAACTCAAGAGTGAACTGGGGCAGCAAAGATCCAGCGTATGATGAGGTTTGCTACTCTCTGCACACTTGAGCAAATGACCTTCGAACCTCGAGTGCAGCATCTCCTAAATGGGACTCTCCCTCATGGGTGTGTGGCATTGAGAAGTGGCTTGCTAAAGTCACAGGCACAGCTTAGCAATGGCTATTTTTTTTTTCAGGTCTACATCACCTGCCATCTGAAAGTCACTTCGGCTGAGCAAGCCCCCGACCAACTGAACAAAGCCTGCTCCTTCAACAAGTCTGCTGACAGGTAAGATCAGCTGGCACACGGCTGGAGTGGAGACCACTCGAGTCTCTTCCCCACATTGGCAGACCCTCTGCAGCCTCCTGAACCCTCATGAGCCCTTCTCCCTCTTCAGCTGGTTTCCGGTAGAAGGCACGAAGGACATCTGTGACTGCTGTAACACAGGTGACTGTGGCACCCCAGGCCTTTCCAGGTGGACTCCCCTGGACCAGCTGACAGTCAGCCAGTGGCAGAAGCCAGCTCCCCGAAGACGCAGGCACGGTATGTTCTCCGGACAGCCAGGGGACTGTCACCTGTCGCTCTTTCCAGAGCATTTACTGTCAATCACCGGAACAAGGGATACTACCTCTTACTTGTTCAGGTTGCTCATCCCAAGAGGTTGGGGCTTCAGGTCTCTTAGCAGAAAACTTAGGATTGAACAGGAGGTGGCCCTATGCCAACCTTGCCTTTGTCCTGGGGTTCTACTAAAACATAGCACTGGGTGTTGGGGGGGAAACAGGACAAACCATCCTAGCTCATGCTAGTGAATACTATGTTCCTTCTGTAGTCACTTGTCAATAAGACAGGACCGTAGTATCCAAAGAGCGTCACTGCAGATTTGGGAGAGGAGCATTCTCTCAAATCACCTCTCCATTTGAAGACGATTGCTGGCTTTTCTACTTAAAGTACTAACCTACTTAACATATTACTGTTGCTAGTTGAAAGTTACAGGCAAATGAATAGATTACATACAGGCACTAGCAAACAGACAACTAGAGGAATGGTTTACATTTGGCTGACAAAAACAGTTCCAAAAGACAAATGTTAATCCAGGAAAAATGGATTTCCTTTCCCTGAACACAGTTCGAGGTCATCTGCAAGACTATAGAGAAGTTACAGTAGGGTCTGAGGTCCACACAAATGTAACTAGATGGCTCAATCAGTTGTGTAGGCTAGAAACACAGGATATCAAGGTTTTAGAGCTATAGGATGTGTTTGAATAACCCTGAACTTGGTAATGCCACCCTGTCAATCGAGGAAAAGCATCCCCTTCTAACTTGACTGCTGGAGCAAGAATCTTTGGCAATGGAACTCCTGGATGTCTCTTCCTTTAACAGTGGCGGAAGCAGCAGACATTACCGTGGGACCCCTGATCTTTCTGGGCAAGGCTGGTGACAGCAACAGAGGAAGGTGGACCTCGGACGCCAACGACTCCATGTTGCTCGGTCTGGGCCTGGTGGGGAGCATGATCTTGACTCTGGCAATGGTCATCCTCGGTCTCCCCAGGAGACAACGTGACGTTTCCTCCCCTCTGGTGTGTCCTGTGTCTGCTTCTCAATAAAAGAACAGTAACCTGCTGTGTGTGTCGTGCAATAACTACTAGTCGAATGGGGGGCTGGCTGTAATGTTTAGTCATCGTTGGATTGGATCTTGGTGTCAGTCCACTTGTCCACATTGGAGGGAAATTTGACTTCTGGCTCTAGGTAACATGGCTTTCTTGGAGCCAAGTAACTGCAATCTGATACCTGATCTTTCTAAGACTAAAAATGAAAGCTTATTGGGGCCAAATGTAGAGTAGATCTGGCCAGTCTGGTTTGTAGGCTTACCAAGAGGTGGTGCTTGAGGGAAGACACGTTAGGCTCAAACCTTCTAGAAAACCTCTTGTTAGACTTTCAAAAAACCCAAGGACAGTTAACTCCTGAATGACGGAAACCATGAACATGGGAACTCTGGTCTAGTGGGTAAAGAATTGCATTGCCAGATCAAAGCATCTACCAGCTACTTAAAGGGAGAGACATGGACAATCTCTTCCCAGTGATTTACAGCCTCTGAAAACTCATCAGTTATGAGCTGGTTCCTGCTTGATGGCTGAGTATATGTATGCTTGCTTGTGTTCAAGCATCTAGCTCACGTAACATCAGACAAGAGACCAAACAAATCATAATTGGTTGCCACACCATCCATCACTCTGGTGGGAGGGACTAAAGAACTGGGCAAAGGACAGTGAGGATATGGGCCCAATTACCGACTTAAGTGCTTGCTACAGAAGATCAAGGACTGCCACCTTCAATATGGATTGAAGCTCAACACCAAGAAGACAAAAGATTCTCACCATTGGGCCAACTGGCAACATCATGATGATGAAGAGATTGAGATTGTGAAGCCAAGCAAACTGAAGCTGTTCACAATCAACACTCTTGGGACCAGCATCCAGGAAATCAAAAGGTGAATTGCATTGGGATAGTCCGCTGTCAGACATCTCCAGAGTACTGAACAGCAACGATGTTGTCTAGTGACCATGGTGCCCCCCTGATCCAGGCCATAGTCTTTGCAATTACTTGTCCTGCATCAGAAAGCTAGACAATGACTAGGGATGATAAGAGAATTGATGCCTTTGAGCCGTGGTGTAAGAGAAAAGTATTGAATATACTGCTGGGAGAACAAATAGATTAATCCTAGAGAGGGTGAGTCCAGGCTGCTCCTTGGAGGCAAAGACTCTGAAGCTTTGTCTGACGTACTTTGGACATGTTGCAGGGAGAGACCAGTCCTTGGAGAGGGACATCATGTTTGGGAGGGTGGAGGGACAGCGCAAGAAAGGAAGACCTTTGACAAGATGGATTGACTTAGTGACTGGGGTATGAGGGTAGGTGTGTCAGACAATAAACTTGGCTCAGGATAGAGCAGGGTTCAGAGCTGTTGTACAGAGGGTCACTATGAGTCGCAAGCAACTTAACAGCACACAACACAGATGTAAGCAGTTGCAGGAGTGATTCTGGGACTTCAAACACCTTTGACTATGCAGCTCTTGAGTCATAGTTACCAGGACTCCAACTTCTAACTTGATGTTCTGCTGCCCTTGACAGAACACTGAGAGACCTCCTTGGGCAGCCTTAAACTTGCAAAGCATAACCACGTGGTTTCATGAGGAAAGAACTCAAGTGGCATCTGAACTCCCACCAAGAATCAACACATTGTCAGGGCTTTTGCTACCACCTCACCCTCCCACAAACCTGCTGCTTCAGAATTAGAGAGCTCTGGTGGCCTAGTGATAAGAATCTGCTTTGCAATCCCAAAGGCACCTGGTTCAAATCCACAAGCTGCTCCTTGGGAGAAGAATGGGCAATCTGGGCCGATGGTACAACACAGGATCTTAAGTCCTCTGGGCACCACTATTGAACTCTTGGAAATGGAGAGGGGAGAGGACTTCCAGTCACCCTTTTTTTACAATGGCAGGTGGAAAGCCGGTGTGTCCAGATGCTAGAGGCAAGTTGAGCCATGACTGGGTTGTGGTGATAGGAAGCAGAGCTAAGCTCAGCACCCTAACACACCCCCGTGAGGAGGCCTTCTTCCCCCAGCTTCTGGCCCCTGGAAATGCCTTCCCGAGGAGTGGCAGTGTCACTCAAAAGGGCCCTGAAATTTTACGGTCCCATATCTCAGCTGTTACTTTGTGTTAAACTAACACAATCTCTCAACCCAGAAAACCTCTCTACAAAAAAAAAAATACAGCTCATTGTTCTTGACTTGGAACTATCTCATCACTGATCCTCTACTGAGTTTCCGACGCTGTCTTTCTCCTTCAGAGCCACTGGTGAATTTGAACTACCAGAGAGGTATTATGGCCTTTGGAGTAGCAGTACAATTTGCCACCCACCATGCCAGGGATTACTCTACGTTGAGGTTTAATCCAAACTGAAAGCTGTAATCTTTGATCCTCCTCAGTCTTTCAAGTCCTCTTTCCTTTCAGTGAGCAAAGATGTATCATCTGCACATTGCCACTTGTTCACTAGTCTCACAAATCTGATACTGCATTGTTCATTTAGTCCAAAGATTATAGCGAAGATTAAATGAGAATTGGACTTAATGGGATACTTTGGCTATAATCTGTGTTTAGCTGGAGCTATTTCATAAACAATTGACACTTCAAGGACACCCTGGGGGGGGGAGTGGCACTCTATAGATTGAACACTCATTTGTTACTTACCCTCAAGTTTAAAGTGTTGCAACATCCTGGGAACTCATCTTTCATTCAATTTCTGTCCTCTGCAGAAAGAGGAAGTGGTTGTGCTTGGTGGTATGAGAGGAAGCGTGACAGGACATGACCCTGAATCAGCTCCCACCACTTGCAGATCTCAGCTCAGTAAAGCAGCTGTTACCCATGTGGCTTCGCCTCATACCAGGGCTTGGGGACATGTGAGAGTTCCAGATTTCAGACGTGTACTTCAGCCAGAATGACAAACCAGGTCTCGGGCCTTGACCCATCTTAGTTTTGTTTTTTTTTTCCTTATTTCCTTTGCAACTGGTCAAACTAAGACTTAAATATATAGCAAAGGAAATGTTTTTGCTCAGTAGTTAAACTAAGATCTAATGCCATCCAGTTGGACTCTATGAAAAGAGCATTCTTCCCCCCCTTTTTTATTATTGCTATTTTTATTATTATTAAATTTTAATGAAAATTTACAGAGACTTTGGGTTTCCATTCATTCATTGTTGCACTTTTCTCCCTGCCCATCCTCCCACTCCCCCCACCCCCCAGTTCACTCGTCTCTTTGAGAAGTAAAAGAAAAATTATTTCATTGTTTTACAATCCCTCCCCCCAGGCCTGCTCCACTATGCAGCCTTTGCTCTGGATTCCTGTCATGACAATAATACCTAATCACATATCCCTTTTAAACAGTTCTCTTCCTCATCTGTTTTAATGCAGTATACATTTATCATCCCATCTTTCTCAGTCTCCCCCCAACCCCGATGTCTGTCCTGTTTTACAATAGTGACACTATGTAGTATTTGTCCTTTTGTGACTGAGATTTGTCACTCAGTATAATGTCCTCCAGGGCCACCCATTTTGAATAATATTTCATAAATTTTTTGTTTTTCAAGAAAAGAACATTCTTAAGGGAGGTTCTTGACACAAAATCCTTATCAGAAATCCCCTCAACCACCTTAAATATTTTAAGTTAATTACTGCTGGCTGCTCAGTAAAATTTCTCTTACTTATATATTTAAAGTAACCTGTCCAAAACATTAACATTCATGTTTCCAACCAATCACCATAAAATACCTCTTTGCCTTCCTTGTTCCATATCTGCCTTTCTTGACCACGCAACTTCCAGTCAGAAGGTTGTATCTTTAGTTCTTGATACTGTCTCATAAATAGGCTTCTTGTCATGGATTTAATTGTATCCTCTACCCTAGATACAAGCATACAGTGACAGAATGTGGAAACTATGTAATCATCTCCCATGATCCAATGAATCAAATAGTTGGAGGAAGAATAAGGGTGAAAACCAACACTCCTTTATCCCATCTCAGCTGTAATCACATGGAAGGGGAATTTTTCTTGGGTGTGGCTAGCCTGCAATATTTTTTCTCACCAGAGATAAAATAATTTTTTTAAAAAAAAAGTATTGGCAAAACTGAAAGCATTGCGGGGGAGGGGAAATCAGGCCTCAGGAATTGATGGAATATCAATGGAGATGTCCCAACAAGCAGATGCAGCCCTAGATGTGCTCACTTGACAATGACGAGGAAGAGAATCAAATGGCCAACTGACTGGAAGGAATCCCTATTTGCTCCTGTAAAAAGAGGGCCACGCTCTGATACTTCTTTCTGCTCATCTCTGCACCATCTCACTGCTTTGTGTTGCTGTTGTTAGATGCCATCTGCTTTACTAGGCCCAAAATCTGATGCAGTAACTCACAGACCACACACATGTTGAGGAAGCCAAAAGATTATAATCCCGGTAAGTAGCAGGATACAGTCAGGACAGCATCCATCTGAAATGTGCTCGCAGACAATTCAGCCTTGAACTGCTTGGATTAGGCTAGTGTCACAAAGTTTCCAGTCTTGTGAACTACAGCCCATACACCCAGCTGTCCAACAAACTTGGGCAAAGGCTCTTAGCTTCAGTTCCAATGGTGTAGCAGTCCCCAGGTCCCATCTCAGTCAGGTGTCTGGTTTGGCTACGGCTGTGGCTGCCGATGTAGGTGTAGCTGGAGCAAGGATTTCTTGGGCCTGAAGGACATGTGACATTCTCTTGCTGCTTCTTCACTGCTAGGAAGGTTTAATCTGCTACTGGAACTGTTCAATTTATTGGTGAGACTGGCCAATCCCCTTGCGGAATGGTGAGATAGCAAATCCCTTCGTGGGTTGGCTAGCATGCCCTATTCACATATTCCCACTGATTTACATGGTCAAGTTAGATGTGACAGGTAGGAAAGTCATAGTGAAAGTTAAAGTTCGCAGTTACCATTCCAAAAAAAGATGGTTCAACAGAGTATGAAAATTATTAAACTGTATTGTTAACATCACATGCAACGAAAATCTTGCTGAAATTACTCAAGA